CCACTAGTGTCCTTTTCCATATGTGAGCTTCCCTTCCTCTTCCCCCTTCTCCCTCTGTGGGAACCCTGCCTCTCCTTGCCTGTGTCTTCTCCACCCCTAAGTCTCCTAGTAGCAAGAAATCAAGGGTTGTTTTTATTTCTGCTTTGAAGGTATAGATGAGGTATGGCAGGTGTGTGTGTGTGTGTGTGTGTGTGTGTGTGTGTGTGTGTTAATGAAGCCCTGGGACTGCTGGCCACTTCTTGGCTTCTTTGCAGATGGGAGTCCTACAAGTCAAAAAGAACAGCTCCCAAATCCTGCCCTGCCTTCTGCCCAGGAAACCTGGAAGCAGAGACCAGTGTTGAAAGGAAATCTGGAGAGCTTCCACCCCATCACGTCATTTCACAGAAGCGGAGAGAACCTCAGGAGGGATGAATGTGTCCTGACCTCATTCCCCTGACTCTTCCTCTGACTATCAGAGGGTCCCAGGAGAAGGCTTTGCTGTAGACCAGATCGGAGGCAGCAGACAAGATCTTTCCTCCCTTTCACCTGACTGGAACCTCCATCCTCAGGACCAGAGCTGGTGGAGCGATGTCATCAGCAGGATGTGTACTGGTTAAGGAGGCTCCTCACCTGCTGGACATAACAGTTGGTGAGGGAACAAAGGATGCATACAAGCAAAACATAAACAAGTGAAACCCAACAAAACCATACAAATATTTCCTGTGGAGTAAAGGTATGTATTTTTCTGTGTGGTCTCAGAACAGGCCATTCAGGTCAATTAAATATTTATGGAAGCCCTAGATGGTTTGGCTCAGTGGAGAGAGCGTTGGACCATGGACTGAAGGGTCCCAGGTTTGATTCTGGTCAAGGGCATGTACCTCGCTTGCAAGCTCAATCTCCAGCTCTGGTCCGGCCCATCGGGGAGGCAACCAATCGATGTGTCTCTCTCACATCGATGTTTCTCTCTCTCTCTCTTTCTCTCTTCCCCTCTCCCTCTCCCTTCCACTCTCTCTAAAAAATCAATGGAAAAATAACCTCAGGTGAGGATTAACGAAAAATATATATTTATGGAAAATATAGATGTCTTACATGCACTATCTATTTTCAGAAAAGTATTAGGATGCAAACTTCACCACAACTGTAGTGACCATCACATTGAGTTTGGTGACTCACAGGGCACTTCAGATCTTGTGGTTGTGCAGGGTAATCCTACTGAAGAAGAGGCATCAGATTAATGACAAATTCTCATAGAATGCTAGCATGTGTTGGATCTTGATGATGGAAGATCTAAGACCTCAAAGACCTGTCTGTTTAGTTTGTTGCTATATATTCAGGATGCGCAGCAGTGCGTGGCATATTGTATGTGCTCAACAAATATTTCTGGATGAATAAGAGACTCCTGGAAAAGGACCGGACTGCCTTCAGCATGCAGGAGACATGCCTCCTTTGCTTCCCACTTATACCCTAGCTCTCAAGTTCAATCATAGCTCAGAAAGGAAAATCCACTTTTGACTCCACACAAGATGGTAGCTTCCTTGTGCCTTGTGAAATGGAACTTTTGGGCCCCAAAATGAATGGATTGGGTTTTTCTATGCATCTCTGTGGGCCAGAGACCACTTTCCTCTTCCAGACATGCAAATCATCCTTCATTCCACCAGACAAATGTCCCGGATTCCTGTGGTGTTACCTGATGCAGAGCAATGAGAAGTGGCCAGAGAATTCACTTGCCCTATGCATGTGCCACCCACGAGTATGGCACATGCATGGGGTAAGATGCTAGCTGACACCTAAATCTCTTTCCATTGCCGGGCACCAAATTAAGTACTTTATATGTATCAACACTCTTAGTATCCCCACAAATGATGACGTAGGTGTCATTATTACCTTCATTTTACAGATGTGGACACTGAGGCAAAGAGGTTAAGGAATTAGCCCATTAACAGCAGCCAGGAACTCATCCTAGGCCACCCAGGCTTGACTGTAACCATTCTGCTCCACTCCTGCTGGACACCCGGTACTCGTTTCAGGGAAACCTGGGTCAGGCCAATGCAGGGAGCTCATCATGACAGAAATCTATGGAAAAATTGTGGAAAATGTGTAGAAATTGAGGCTGAATAATTCTAAACTATTTCTGTCCCCTACCAAAAATTAGTTTACCTAAAAATTGATTTTTGATGTTATCTAGATAATATCCTGGCTGAATGAAAGCCTGTATGATAGAAAGTTGGCTATTTCTGGACATGGAAGAGTTCAGAAAAGACACTGGACTTACTCCAACCAAATTTTATAGACAAAGGGCCAGGTTCCGTAGGGACCACAGAATCTTCTTCTAGAAAAAAAAAAAAGTAAAAGCTTACCCTATTTATCAGGACTAGACCTTTGGCCCTGGTTCCCAGTGAGTTGTGCAGAGTGAGGGTTCTAGTCATAGTCCACAAAACTTAGGAGGACCCCACAATTCTGAAGCCTTGTCCCTATCTATTGGGAGAATCAAATCTGTGACATCTTAGAGCATGAAACCACCAAAATCATGGAATTTTTATGAGATAATTTACTACTATTTATTTTACGTATGAGATCCAACATGTACAACAGAGGACAGGGGCATGGCCTGGACACAACGATACCACTTCCTAAGTGTCATGATGTGCTTTGTAAGCAGAGTTCATTGTGTTGCAGGGGTAAGAAAAAGGAGTGACAGGACACATTATGCATTCTTCCTCATCACCTTTTCTCAAATTACCTGTTTATCCATGAATAATAAGCAATCAAGGATGAATTTTGCCTGTAAGGGTCTGATCCTGTAGCAGTGGTGCAAGGGCCTGAAGCCTTCTCCCCCCACATCTCCACCCACCCTATTGAAAAAATGGCATGTGGAAACTTGGAAGTGCTTGGGGTGCTATGGACAATTGGGTGACACTTTAAGACAACTCTAAGTGGTGAGGATCAAGGACTGGCTTCACCCCAGATCTGAGTCTGGGGTCTGGACCACATTGGGTTCATGGCCAGCTGGTTGGCCAAGCATCCACTTGTCCTTCCTCATGCTGCCTCTTTCCTGCTCTAGCATTTCTTATCTACTCCTCACCCAGCCCATCATGAGGACAAGAATCCACTGGGCAAAGGCTTTCCTCTTGCCCACCCTGATAAGAAGTGAAGCCCTCAGCTCCCTCCTGGACACCTGACACCCAACTGATACCACCCAACTGATTCAAGCTACTTATTTTTGGGACAGGGTGAGGTTAAGGGAATGTGCAGTGGAAATATGTTTACGTGGTAAGCATTTTAATAATCAGAATGAATTCATGTAATATTTATGTAATTAACAAAATTATGGTACATATATCGAGTGGTACATTGAGTAACCATTGAAAACAATGATTAAAAGCTCTTTACTTGGAGGAGGTCCTCGCTCATCTTTCCTAAGAACTTTTCTTTGAAGGAGGGGCAGCCCTGCAGGGGTGGAATAGAGGACTCATGGGTGCTTCCACGTTTCTGTGTTCCCATGATAAGGAAATTTATACTTGAGAGTTTATTTGCCGATCTACCAGAGGGAGGGCAAGGGCAGGGAAGGTCTCAAGTTGTACTGAAGACCTGGCCTCCTACACCTTCACTGGTCTCCACAGGCCTCCAGACCAGAGTGATTCTGAAGCAGCCCCTGGAGCTCCCGGAGATTGAGTTTTTGCTGCCGACACATCGGGGAGGAGCTGCCTACTGAGAGGCACAGAGTGCAGCTGCAGCCAGGCATCATTGGTGAGAGTGCCACCTGCCAGCCCAGCTCTGCGTGTGTCCAAAAGAAGCTGCAGGCAAAGCTGGCCAGCACAGAGCCAGCAGCATCCAGGCTGCAGGCAGTTGGTTCTGTCCCCTTTCTGTCCTACCTCTCTCTCCCACCTCCCTAGGCAGCAGCCGTTTGATGCCTTCCAACAGCAGATGACAGTGTACACGGTGTCTGCTGCCAGCATCCCCTCCCCATGCTCACCCCAGGCTCAGGAGCCAGTCAGTCCTCTGCCCAGGGACCTGTCAGCTGGAGATAGTCACTGAAGGCTCCTGCCTGTCCAGCCAAATGCCTGAAACCTCCAGGCATCTTCCTGGCCTCAGAGCCTGCCAGATGTGAATCTGCAAAGTCAGTCAAGGGGACTGACAATGTGGAGAGACTCAAACAGACATAGTGGGGGCTCTGAGGCAGATGGAGACACGAGGTAATCAGGCAGAGTAAACAAACATCAAATGAACAAAGCCTTCTTCAGCAGCAACCACAAAAGGGAAGGTAAAATAAGTGACACACTCTTTTTCTGTGTGGACTGGAAATTTTTCATAATGAAATTAACAAATAGCCCTCATGACGTCACCCACTGTGCCCTTGTGTGGGCGGTCTCTCTGGCCTAGGCACCTCCTCTCATACTGTCTGTGCATAAGTCCTACAGCTTCCACAGGCCCCAGTCCGAACACCACTTTCTCTAGGAAGCCTTTCCTGATGCATCCTCCTTTCTCCACCACCCACTGGCAAGTAAGAACACCTTCCTCTTTATTTCATTTTGATAGAACCATTTTGATAGCAGCTCTTCCATTCTCACTTATAGTTACCTGCATGCTAATCCGCCAAACAGCCGCAGAGTGCCTTAAAGGCAGGGAGTCTCGTCCATTAATACTCTATCCTCTGCACCTACCACGTCGTCTAGAACAACGGGAACTGATAAATGGATACACAGATCAATTATTCATTCATTTCAGAAACATGTATATGTGCCCGAATATAGCAGGCACTACACTAGGCAGTGAGTTAACAAGACAGGTAAGACAGTGGACTCACTGGCCTCATGGTCTACCTTCTAGGAAATGGAGGCAGCCATATAAACAGACAATTATAGTGAAGTTATTGGTGCAATCATGAAAAGTACATATAAGGTAGAGAGGATGGAGGGAAGGAGAGAGGGTTCAATTCTACAAGGAAGGTTAGGAAAGTCTTCAAAAAGAGGTGGTGCTAGGTTCAGGTTCATGGGAAAGCAGATGCAAAGAGAGGGTTAGACATATAAGGGATTTATCGGTGGAGGGAGCAGAAGGCAGGAAGGGCCCTCAGACCACACTGCATGCCTGATACCTGTGGGAAAGGAGGAGAGGATAGGAAGAGTCTCAGACTGCAGGGAAGTTCCAAGAAAGGTTTGGTCAGACCAATGGGGAGTCCTTGGACCAAAGCTACCCATTGGCAGAATCTCATATCTTATTGGGCAGGGCCCACCGTGCTCAGGCGTGGCCTGAGAGCAGCCCACAGGAGCCACTGCTTTGACATGAACACGGCGGCAGACCCAGCAGGGCAGCAGCTGGGGCATTGTCAACTACACTCTCTGCACTGTGAGGTATAGCTGCACATTTTCACAACTTGGTCTTCTAAGTAATATCAGCAGGCATGTAAGTGAGGGAAAGTGGGAGAAGAAAAAAGGGAAGATGTTCCAGGATGGGGACCTGCATAAGAGAAGACTCCAAAGCAAGAAACAATGTGGATCATTAGTGGGCACGACAGGAATATAGGCGGGGGTGTGGGGAGGGATGGAGCCGCAAGAGATGAGGTCAACTGGTTGGAACAGTTCCATTGTGGGGGGTATTGCATGTGAGCAGTGGGGAGTTATTGACTATCAGGAGGGATCACAGCAGCTTCCACCTTTAAAAGAAGTTCTGGTGGTCATGTGTAGGGATGAGAGCTCAGAGGGAGGCAGGTGGGTCAGGCAGGAGACCCTAGCAATGGACTAAAGCAGTGGTGGCATACGGGAGAGGGAGAGAGGGATGATGAATGGGAGGATGGATGAATGCAGGACTGAATGAGTGAATGAGTGCAAGTGATCAGACTGTGCTCTCATGGACAACTCCACTGTATCTAAATCCCTGAATTCTGCTCTGTGTGGGGAGCTGAAGAGTTTCCATTAGGAGAAACTGTGCCCTGATATATTACAAGGGGGAAAAGTCTGTCCAACATCCTGCTCTGCAGAAATGTATTAACACCTGCCCACCCTCACCTGCGTGCCTGACCCAGGCTAATCTCAGGCAGGCATGGACACGACTCTGCACCCAGCAGAGCACCAATCCCCGGGAGGCGAGGCCATCCTTTTCTGCTCCATTCATTTTCAGGGCCAGATGGTGTTTGCCTCATTGACTTTCACTGCTGATGTAGGCTTGTTTGCTGGTTTTTCACAGGTTGCTTCATTTCCTTTATTTCAATTCATTCTTCCACTTGCCCTCTTTTGTGCTCTGTGTCACGTTCATCACGATGGCAGGGAGACAACTGGAGCTCTCAGCAGGTGCACGTTTTTTTTTTTCAGGGAGCTGGCCAAACCTCGTGCCCACAGCTCAGCCCTCCCAGCTCTGGGGAAACATCCACAGGAGCCCCTGAGAACAAACAGAAAGCTCAGTTTTATTGAAAAACTGCTGATAAGGAAAGATGGCAAGGGCACCAACAACAGCCATGACCCAAAGGATGTCTGCTGTCACCTTGCATAAAGACTAAGTCTAAAATGCAACTTCAAGGTCATTCCTCACCCAAGTGTTCTGTTTGGTCACCAGCAAGGACAATCAGCATACGCACCTGCACTTACCATGCCTCTGAGCTTCAGGTGCCTTTCCCAAATGGAAAAGCTCCATCCTTCCTCCAGCCAAAGACATCTTCTTCCATCTTGACATAGTTCTACTTTGTGCTAGTACCAACATCCTCAGCAGTCTCTGTTACATATGTCCACAACCCTATCCAGGGGTGGCTAGTTGTTGACTTGCTTTGGTCTGAGTTGAACACCTTGAACATTAATTAGGGTTGCAGTTCTTTCTTCTTCCCCAGACTCTCAGATTCTCAAGAGTGCGAATGAAGACTTGCTCCTCCATTTGGGCCTCCAAGCATCTGGGGAGTGAGCTGTGGGGTGCCTGTGACTTGCAAGGCCTGGCTTCTAGGTCTGCTCTGCTCTAGGAAGTGATCAGCAATGGAAAAACAAACAAAACACACACACACTTGTCTGACATTTTTCACCACTCCTGTGTATCTTGGTCTGTGTCATTTGCCTTTCTTGGCCCTCCTCCCTGTACTAGTAAGTGTTTATGACATTATGTAACTGTCACACATTCGGATTTAATGGATTCAAAGTGAATTGTTCCAAAACCTTTTATTAACTAGCACATGGTTCCCTAGGCCCTGACTCTCTGCACTGTGGTGGTGAGAAGAATCTTTGAAGAAAAGGAACATCATATGTCCAAGTCTGTAGGGAGAGAGAGAGAGAGAGAGTGAGAGAGAGAGAGAAATTGAATTAGCAGAACTGAGAGAGAAAAACAACCCAGCAAGTGCCAACTGGCAGCCTCTCTGGATCAATAATATTAACGATTTCAGAGACTTCCAAAGAGCTATTGCCAACTCTTTTGGCTTTTTTCAATACTATTATCACTATTACAAGGACACCCCAAGGCCCTTTTACTTAAAGCCATGACAGAATGCCCCAAATGACAGCACTGTTGATTTCTGCCTTCAAGGGCTGCAACCTCAATGCTTCCGAGAGAGGTGGGCGGTGGGGCTAGACTTGGTTGTAATTTGAAGGTCAAGGTTTCAGAGGGAGGGATGGCAGTCTCCTGAGAATTCGTTGTGTCTAGTAGCCATGTGACCACTTACCCTGACCAACCCTGAGAAGTTCCACTTGCCTCTATGAAGATGTTGATAAAAATCAAGGCCTTCACTGGAAAAACTAGGACGTGTCTAAGTGCCTCTGCTCTGGCAGATGTTCTGGTTCCACTCTCTGCTCTGTCATTGACCATGTCCTCCTCAAGGCCCTCCATCTCTTGGGGCCTCTGTCCCCTGTGACTTGGGGTATGGGAGCGGGAGGATTGTCTAATGATGAATGATTGCTGAGAGTCTGTGGTGGTCAATCATTGTAAGGGGTACAGGAGCCAGAGGGAGGGCACATGGCTCAAGGGAGAAGACAAAGGCCCGAGGAATCTGTGAAAACTAGTCATTCATTCATTCATTCAACATGTACTTCCTAAGGGCCCACTCTGCGTCAGGCATTATTCTAGGTTCCAGACCAATGAAGTCTAAGAGGAATTTCATGGGAGCCACAGCTATAATTTTAAACTTTCTAGTTGCTACATTAAGAGGTTAAAAAAACCCAGGTAAAATTAATTTTAATGATGTTTGTTAACCCAATACACCCTAGGTATTATTTAAACATATAACCAATATAAAATACACTGAGTGGTCAGATTATAATGACTGGCCAGATTATTATGACCACCCCATCAGTACTTCATTGGGCCATATTTTGCCTTCAATACTGCAGCAATTCTTCTTGGCATTAACTCCATGAGATGTTGAAAGGTGATGTGAGGAATCTGACACCATGCCTGATGAATAGCACTGTCCAGTTCTGTGAGATATGATGGTTGTGGAACCAGTTGCCTGATGGCTCTTTTAACTTCATCCCACAAATGCTCAATTGGATTGAGATCTGGTAATTGTGGGAGCCACCTAAGCAAGGTAGACTCCTTCATGTTCTTGAAATCACTCCTGCACAATATGAGCACCATGGCATGGCACATTGTCTTCTTGGAAGAAGCCATCTCCATTGGGATACACCATCAACATGATAGGATGAACTTGATCAGCAATGATACTTAGGTATGTTGTGCTATTCAGACGTTTATAATGATCTGGCCACTCAGTGTATAAAGTACTGATGAGGTATTTCATGTTCTCAGTTTCATCCCAAGACTTTGAAGTCCAGTGTACATCTGACATTTCTGGCGCATCTTAAATAATGGCTCCGTGGGCTGCGACACCTGAGGATTTTTTTTGTGTGTGTGATCTTAACACTTTTATTTTCTTTTTCTTTTTTTTATAATTAAATATTTATTGTTCAGATTATTACATTTGTTCCTCTTTTTTCCCTCCATAACTCCCCCCTTCAGTTCCCACCCCACCCTCTGCCCTCACTCCCCACCCACTGTCCTCATCCATAGGTGCACGATTTTTGTCCAGTCTCTTCTCGCATCCCCCACACCCCTTTCC